TCGGAAACAGCAAGACTCAGGAGCAATGTTTTTAAAGTTTGTGGCAAGGAAGAGGTTCTTCGTATCGCGTAGATTGTTACAATGTTTAACATGATGGCAGTATAGCAAAGAAAGCTGCTGAACAGACAATTAGCGACGTACGTCGAATGAAGCTCTTCAAATTCGGAGATTTTCGGGTAGAACTGCAGCAGCAATTCACAATATGATTTGCTCATGATATCAACTCAAGGTTCTACAACACACCGAGCGTTTCACGTACCACTTGTTTTACAACGTAAATAAGTTTCCCTCGCGGGGCCACACACCAGGTCGGATCACTTTGGCTTTCCTTACTACAGAGCGAGATCGCCAGTAAACAAATCCGTAAAGTACCCCAGATATGGCGCTATCAGATGCTGTGTTTATGTATAACACGGTTCAGTCAAATTTTCCGGGATAGGAAACTAAACGATTCACAATGTTTGCCGTCAACTGATAAGCTAACACTGCTAGGTGGGCTTTATTGATCACAATAAAGTCAAGAAATAATTAAAACGTCAGTCACCTTTGTCTAAGGTTTATTAAACAGGCCATATGGTCATTGTTGTTATTAATGCTATATTCGTAATTTGGACCCCTTTATTTCAGGGAAACTTTAGGTTCAATAACTTATGGTTAATGTTCGCGTGGACTGCAATAATATAAAAGTAGGATTTTTGGTGTTTTAGACGTTATTTTTTGTCTCCCTACAAAAAGTGCACTAAATATTGTACTTTCAGCAAACTTTAGATCGAACACCTGGATAAAGAGCAATTTGCATGCACGTTAAAAAGAAGGATAAGGAATGTATTTGGCGATGGACAAACTGAGATGATTCAGCGAAACAACGCTCAACTGACTTTACACAGCTTTCTAGGTTGTACATACATTCTGCAAATGTGTATTTGAATCTAGCTTTGTCGAGATCGCCATTCGTCAGTTGATTTTATAAGGTCTCTAAGCTGGCTTTGCTCTGCATGCAGCTGAGTGTATTCAGGCTATTTTTGGAGTCAGTTTCACGCTGTCTTTATTCAGCCCTGTTTCGTATTTTCCAAACTGTGATGCAATCGTGTCTTTCGTTAGTATAAATAGAGTACTCTTATCCTCATAATACGATTTACATTGAGGATTTACCGCGAAGCTACGAACAATAAATTTGTGAAGTCCCAGTTCTTTGAGTGTCCTAATAGTTCTCGCAGACCAGACGGTACTTTGGAATCCGTGACAAGTTCTTTTCTCGCAGTTTAGCGAGTTGCTCCGAGCTAATTTCCGCGTCGAGAAAATTTCTTAGAGTCAAGCACACAAATTTCCAGCCAGTAGGCCTCTCAACTCCCGTTTTCCTCATAAGAACTTTATTAGAGAGTCTTTAGGTGTCATAACTGATCAGAATAAAAGTTAGACATAAACGACGCAGGTGTCAGTATCAGGTCATGAAACGGGAAATGAATATGTGAAAACCTACAACACTGTCTCAAATTTGAAACCTTCAAAAGTGGCAAGCGAGATATCGGAAAGAATAACTAGCGAGAGAAAATCCCGCTGAGCTACATCAAAAATTATTTAGGACCATGATATGAAAATTACCCCATGGATATTCAACTCATTTTCTCAAAAAGACAAAACAAAACAAATTAAAAATGCACTAAAAAGTCTCTTCCCGACGGTACAGCTGCAAACCGCTATAAGTGTTATGTAACGTGTGGCGAACGAGTCAGAATGGAATCCACGGAAAGTGTTGTGGCAGGTCGTGTTGCCAGCAGTATTCAAGCGAATATTTTTTGAATAGAAACGCAGGTTACCTAAGACCGAAGCTATGACAAAGACTGTGCTGTTGTTTTTCGCGTAGCCCTTTTTTCGCCATAACAACCAAAACGCCAAAAATAAAATAGCCTCAGGTAAAGGTTCTGTAGGGTAGCGTCCGTTATAAAGTAAACATGTCATATCGTATTTGCACATTTGAAGATGTGCAAAGGCAAAAAGATATATATTTGCACGACTGCTACGGAAGGAAGACCATTGGGGTTTAAGAGGGTTCTCGGAGACATTGCCCTATGAGGCGCAGACCATGATCATGAAAGATGAAGGGATCCGTTCATATTCTCGCGGAGGATCTGGAACTAACTATCGCTCGAGATTTGTGCGCGGGATCTGGAACGAATGTTAAGCAAGATACAAGAATAAGCTATCGACGGAGTTTCCCGCGCGAGAACACCACGTGAACTCCAAACGAACGTGGCATGAGAATCTTCTGTGAACAAGCATTCAATAAAAGCAACTTTCAGTCGATTGACGAATATAAAGATATCGGCATTAGCTTCTAGTTATTTATGTACCTGCTTTGCGGAGATTTCCTCAGAGAGAACTTTTGATGAAGAGAGAATCTTTATGGCAGTTTCATCCTCCAAGATATTTCCCTAGCATAAAGCAAGTTAAAAACAAACGCTGTTTACACATAATAAAGCGAACGTTTCACGTACACGTGAGATATTTTTTTCAAACGACTATACGCACGTCTTATCAGTGAGCCCTTTAATACAAAGCAAGTCAAACCACATTCATTGACAATTTTTATACTATATGATAACAATCTGACAATAGCTGAGAAAAAGTAAAATCTACATTTAGTTCAACGAAACAACCCACCCTCTCGTAGATAACCCCGAAAAATTCGTGAACATGAAAACGAGTCTCTACAAGTCACTATTTGTAGTATTAATTTTTCGTTTTCTGCAGTGAAATATAATTGAGCATCAAAATATGGCACGCATAGTTGATTTTTAATTTGAAATAACGACCCCCTTACCAACTAAATTTAGCGCTTTGACGGTCGATATATCGATTTTTGTTTTCAAAGTGTAGAAGCAGAGAGCTGTTGAGTTACAGTCAGAAAATGCGTAGTGATTAGAGGTAAAAGAAAAACCTTTCGGAAGATTTGAACGATTTTGATGAATTGTTTGCAGTGCTAAACTGCATCTCAATATATCCCACGAACACAAACATTACAAGCTAGGTAATCTGTTCGTTACACTTTCTTTCAACAAGAGAGAGAAATACTATTTAACGTTACATCTCTAGGCTAGAAGAAACTTCAGGAAGGTTTACCTCAGATGACGACAACACTTCTAAAATCTTGTCTTCAATTTCTTTGAGCTGTACATATAAAAACAAAAACGCAAATTGTCAGCTAAAATCAGCTTTTATCGTATTTTGCTCATATGCTACATAACAGATTACTCTTCTACCCACTTCAAGAGTAACGACCTTTTTCAGTCGAGGTCAATCTTCAACTAACCTGTTTTTTATTTGCAGCACTTTCCAGTATAAGCTGGTTCTTCTTTTCTTCCAGCTCTGGTTTCTCCTTCGCGGCCACAATTCCTAGCAACTGATCCTCCAGCCCCAGGGGGGTGATCATGAAGTTGACTAGTGTCACCTTGACTGAGATTTCCGGCAGGTAGTGCGGGTTGCGCAGGCGCGTGGTGATGTAAAACCGGAAGTCACGTGAATACTCGATGCTGTTCTCGCCAAGCTTGAGATACTATGAATGGTAAAAATACAAGAATGATAAACACTATTACAACATTCGGAACAATAAGGCGACCATCATTAATACATTCACCTCAAATAATATCTAAGAAATTTTCGGAAAAGATTTCAAAATATACTATGAACACAGTCACTGCCTTGTAGGGTAACGAGTTTGATTAAAAAAAATGATGATTTCACGAAACGAAAGGTCCATGTTGAAAAGCAACGGGAAAATAGAACCCATCTGTCATATCCGTGGCATGTTATCAACATAGCAGTTTCAACTCCATTTCCACTTATATTGTGTTTCTTGTAAAAGATCAAACACGAAAGACCGTGTTTGACCACATTGACAAGCGACCATAAGAGAGGTAAAAAATGACACGCAGCGAAATTTTTTTTTGGCGAACTTCGTAATGAAACACGATATCTCTGCTAGAACGCTGTCCCCTGAAGGGAAGAAAAGCTACAGTTATCTTTCAACCTAAACTTTGCAGCGTTTCGTTATTAAAATTACCTTTATACAACTAACATAATACCTCAACTCCGCCTTGTTTGAATGTTTGCTTAAGGAGTAGTGGTTCCAGGATAGGATCCAGTTCCTCTCCAACATTTTCCATCAGCACTGGTGTACCGAACTAACAATAAAAAACACACAAATTCAAGATTATTGATTACACTAACAATTACGTGACTTGATTACAGCCGTTTGGTTACTCTGACTGTTGATAGAAACACAGAGGAATGCTCTGTAACACGAGGCTCAAATGACTAATAACTGATTGAAGGTTACAAGTCTGCCACTTCCGAGTGACCCATTAAGAAAAACAGTTGATTCATTTCTTTTTAAGTACGTTTTTCTTATTACCTTCTTTTTATCTTTAGTTAGCACGTGCGGTTTTTTGAACGAGCTTTTAGTTCATAGACGCTACGTGTCTAAGTAAAAGATTGATTGATTGATTGATTGATTGGATTGATTGATTGGATTGATTGATTG